TTGGTTAGCCGGAAGCTGTACCGCGGTGCGTGAGTATTCGTTGCACGATCACCACACATGTACAGTGCACTCAAGTGATCTGAATTTATAGGGCTCCAAGTGTTGACTACTGACAAAGATGCCATTAGTGCATATACACCGGGTCATACAAACAGAATCCAACACTTACGCTTAACTATATGTTCATCACCACTGATTACATCACAAAATTGTTTACTAGATTCTTAAAATTATTTTTTTTAAACTTTGTAAATACCCTACATACAGCGGATCACTAAACAGAACTTTTAACAGATTGCATTTGGCAATCCAACGGACAGAATTGCTTTTGTTCACATTGAGATTTTGAACTTGAAGACATCTCAGACGAAAAGCGTAGTCTGATCGGTTTTTAACATAACGAACATCGGTGAAATGGAGTTTGTTTAGGAAGAAAAATTATTATACTTGAGGTGATAAGCGTAATTAGGACAATAAAGATGGAAATTCAATCAAATTGAAGTAATTACCTTGGTTAGGTCTACCTGAGTTAATGCACGCACGGCTGGTGGAACACTACCCATCATTGTGGCGAAATCACGCCCCAAATTGGTCAGATTGCCTAGCGTATCACCGCCAGATCCACTGCCACTCATGATAACAATTTCCTTTGTTCGTGACAGTGGGGCAGCAATTTCAGCCGCAACACGCGGAAGGGTGTCCAGGACCAGGCTGAGCATGGCTGCATCTCCGTATTGATCATAAGCCTTAGCCCGCAAACGCATGCGTTCCGCTTCCGCTTGACCTTTAGCTTGAATCACGGCTGCATTAGCCAAACCACGAGCTCGAATTCCATCAGCCTCGGCTTGAGCCAGCATGATTTTCTGTGCCCTGATAAAGTGGAACAAGGTGATAGATAAGTTGACCAGCAGCAACAGAAGTCATTGCAATTAAAAAAATGAGTAATATATCAATGCAACCAAAACTAACAAAAATTATCTATTAGTTTGCTCTGACTGTTCGCCGTCATTTGTTTTTCCCCTACGTTTACTTCATTCAACTGTACCAATTCATATTATCATTCTTGTTGTGTTGGCACCATACTTATCTTCAAGTCGGTGTGGACCATGTATATATACTTGAAAACAACAGGTTTACACCTAAATTGTCTGTTCGTGAGTAACCAACAGTTACAAACGTCCCGCTAGAAGAATAAAATGTCTCCTCTCCAATGGTGACTTGTTTCTGTGGAAAAATATCATTTTCTTCGGAACAACGTCGATGACACCAAGTTGATGGTGGTGGCGCAGTGGTTTAGTCGCTGTCATCGAGGTACTTTGGAATGTATGGTCAGATGTTCGAGTCCCGACGCCGCCCCTCCCCCCAACACTTGTGGTAGGCAGCTTTGTCGTCGCCCAGTTCTAGTCCATGCCTGAGCCAGGGGAGGGGGGCACTTAAAGCCCCGGGGCTCGGGTTGCCGGTTACTATCATTGAGCAGCTGGTCTTCGTGACTATGGGGTCCGCCCCGACTGCTCTTCAGCACACACTGGTGTATAATAAAAAATTCATAGTTTGCTTGGTAATGGTAGGTTGCATGCCATCGAAATTTGTTCAACCTTCCAAGATTATATACTTGGTGAAAACATGCGAAACACAGTTTTCGTAGCCACAATAAACCAGACGATATACAAGCCGTGATATGATACAAGTGCTCACAAAATGCTTGGATTGCGTATGTTGTTACACTCATCTCCGAACTGAATATTCATAGCTATATACTCCTCTTCTCAGTTTCATTTTCATCAACCAGGCTAAGGATTCAGAATTTCGTTACTCAAACCAATATGAAGTCTACCTCGTTTAATTTTGTGTCAAGCAACAGTTTCCGGTAGAAGATTGTACTGGTTTTCAGTATGTGAATTCGCTCCACTTCTTCTGACGGGAAAGATTTGGGGTCAGGGAATTGGACTCACCGTTGTCCTTCGGCAATTTGCTGCAACCGGTAGGCTTCCGCTTCAGCCGGTCGACGGACGGTTGCGTCCATTTTTTTCTCGCTACATTCGATCTCTTTCTCTTCTATCTCGATCTGTTTTCGTCGCTCAACAATGCTGATATTCACCTCTTCGGCACGGATTTTCTGTTTTTCTCTAGCAGCCTAGGGAGCAAGACAATGCGGAAAGAGAAGATGAGATTCAAATCAACGAGCACACGTTACCCCTCCCACCCCCTAGCGTGTAAAACCAGAAGGAGATAAGATTTCAGGCCGATTGTTTTCATGCATAGCGAAAAAAAGAACCACGTCAGAAAGGCGGTTAATATAGAGTGTAAACCATTGACGTAGTGAGTTAAGTAGCTGAACCGCACCGCTATCTTTTCTACTCCGTACACCATTCTATTATCGGCTTTTAATAAAAAAGAGAATGTATACTTTATATCTAGCAGGCTAAAATGATGTAGATGATCAGTGAAAAAGGGACAAGCAGTGCTAGCTTTTGCTGTTTCAATTCGAAGTTCCATTTGCAGATGCATTTGCCCATTTTACCCTTCCGAAGTGCTCATTCTTCTTTCTTTTTTCTGTTTTTCCTTTTTTCGTAAAGCACAAATTTTTATTTTTTCACGACAAAAACGCCTCCTTTTGCACCGCTCGTCATGTTGCACCTGATTGGTCAATTGCCCCAAAATTTTGAACTTTCCAGCTAATTTACACTGACTGCCGGCCGCCAAACTGTATTTGAACCGACGAGTTGTACTCACAAAGCGCCTTTGGTCCAGCGAAATATACAAACTCGCCTGAAGGTCTATCTTACTCCTCTCTGTTTGATTGCTTCACGGGATCGCATCACCTCTAGCGATTCCACTGAATGGGTTGCGTCGGGCATCGCTGACTTGATGGTACACACTCGTTCGTTGTCCTTGCTCGTCCGGTCATTTCTATCGTCCAAAGGTTACAACAGAAAGCCGTGGTGATGAACAGTCTACAACGATTGACATTTTCAAGTGCCACGTTAAAAATGGATTGTTCTGTATAGCTTAATCAGTTGACATGACCCAATCGAATGGCTTGCAGTTGACAACGCCCATGTCAACAGACAAGTTCGTGCGTCATCATTTCCATTTCCCACCTGAACATTTCTATCCACAGCGTTTCGTAACCAGTTGGAATTTAGCACTCATTTTTAGCGTTGTGGAAATAGAATACGATATTTCTAGAGTTATACGACCATTTATGATAAAACGAATAATGCTGTGGACGCCATGAAGCATCTTCTAACCATTGTGAAAAGTGCGTGCAACTTCTAGTTGGTGCTATCATTTAGTGGCAATGGGGTTTTGGATTTTCATTGAAATAGGGGCAAACGAACAAAGAGAAACTGTTCAACGGAAAGTGAACAACCAAGCATGGCTATGTCTTGAACTATACCTGTAATTGATAAGCTAACTCAGCCTCGGCACGGGCGGTGTTCACTTCTTGATCGAAACTGGCTTTCTGCAACTCGAAATCGCGAGTAGAATTGGCAATATGTGTGTCCGCGGTGTAGCGTACATCCATTCGGGCACGTTCGCACTGAGCTTCCTGTGAATTGCATTTGGTTTTGCGTATTGTTGAGCGAATTCGCATCAGGGGAGAGAGAGAGAGAGAGAGTGATCAGCACACTTAAAAATAACTGATTGAACCAGTTCACCAAGTAACTGGTGCAAAGGGGAACATAAAACCCGCAACTGACAATGCATCGATTCTGCTATCAATAATAGTGAAGACATACAGAAGAATGGTAATTCTGTGCAGCTACAAAAAAGAATGTGTATCTCTCAGTTCAGAATGTACATCAAGACGTGTGGTGAACCAGTTTGATCTGAATGCACGACGATCGACAAAGATTCCTTGGATGATCAGCTGCCCTTGAAAAGCGCAACTGGCGCGGGTGAAACATCGGTGTCACGCCCCATGAGACAATATCGTGTAGAATGATAAAGAATGGCAACAGGGTTACTACCCCCCTTCGATCGAGCATTCAGTATTTTAGGTACTTCGAACCAACCATAGTTCCACTGATGAAGACTAGTTTGTTCGTCTCATCAGACGGAAGAGCTTCTCAACCCACAAAGAACTCCCGCCGCTTCGAAATGTCGATATACTTATTCCGTGCTTGTATGTCCCTTCGGCCTCCAGACTTTCGTCCAACTGACCGTTATCCTACCATTTGCTTCATCGTATCCCATATTACCTCAATGTGTTTCAGGCTAATGAAGCCAATGCATCGCAAACTCTAGGCGAGCTTTTCGATGATGGTCGTTCAACCAAAGCATGTTCCCTGGTCAACGTGTATTCAGACCACACTTGTTCAACACTCGTTTTAGCGTACTTCTGAACCCGGAAGGTGAGGCGGCGCATAATTTGCAGCTTTCTGTAGAAAGCCTATCAG